GGGGGTATATAGAGTATGATATTTGAATGCATCTGTTCTACAGGCATCGTCCCGGACTTGGCCAATGTCTTTCGGCGTTCGCCTCGTGCTTCCCGATAGCCTTCCTTGAGCCGGAGTTCAACAAAAATAACAAATACTCGGTTTTGGCCAAATCACAGGAGCAGTCAGTACAAGTTCAAGGTGAGTCGACTTTTGCCCAATTTATAGATTTGTACTAATTTTTGAAATATTTAGAAATGCTGCAAAACCTATCCACTCACATCCCGCACATCGAAAAATTGCTGTCGGATATTGAACAGGTACTGTGTTGCTTTTAAAAAATTCAGTTTTCGTTCTGGTTCCATTTACCATCAGCAGCTGTAAGCGGCGCGGTCTTTAGCTGTCTGCGCACCTTCATTCCATATTTTCTCTCCGCCGAAGACTAGCCGCGTTGCCTCAAATGGACGCAACTTACCCATTGTCTGCGTTGATGGATTACCTCTATTTTATTCTCTAGGTTGCCAATAATGGAGTGATGTACGCTGAACAACCAAACATTTACGATGTGGACCTACCGCTAATGTGCTCATACCTTGCTTATTGGTTCAACATTGGACCGGATAGCCGCAAGAACGAAAAGGGAGTCGATGAAAAGGAACACCGTCAAACGTACGTCTAGATGTGTACCAAGCTGACTTGATAAGGCTGATATCGCCCTTTCTAGGCTTCCGATGACTTCGGTCAATGCTGATCATATAAACAGAATCTTCTGCGCATTATTGAGGATGGTCCGCAACCATATAGGTGTCGAGAATGCGCCATGGTTGTGCCGAACAAATTGTGAGTCATTTCTGCTCCCAGACAGTTATTTTTGTGAATTTCCCTGATTTAGTCTTCGCCGTGCAAATTATTCAAAATGTCACCTGCGATCCGGTGAAGGATTATGTGCTTCCCATCGCTGAACGCCTTCGCAGAATGAGCGAGAAAGCATTCCGAGAAGAAGAACATATGCGAACGCATCCAGATGATGCTGATGAAGGAACTGTAGCTGAGGTGAGTGTTTCAGAGACTTCGTGCCAGCGCTGTGCCAGCGGCGCCACGCCGCCTCGTATTGATTGATCGGTTTTGGCATGTCGCTAGCATCGCTGG